GTATAACTATATCAGACAATTTCCTAATTTAGGACGGTCTCACCTGGAGCACATAGATGTACCCTATATATGTTTACTGTCGTTATATATCATGACAACAGAAATGTGACACTATCATCAGTGGTGTGATGATCAACAGAAATCTGATATTGTCGTCAGTGAAATAATATGTATTTTGGATAGACATGCAGTGCTGTGGCTTGACAATCAAAATTCGTTTGCATTATACAATGATTTGCGTTTAACAAAAAATATCATTAAAAAAAATTGATCTGATAATCAATGATAAACAGGAGGAAACGTTGAAGTTACACAACTGATTTTTCACGCGGTGTGAAACACATAAAAAAATTATTTTACAATACTTGATTGTATTGTAAAATAATTTTTTTATATGTTTCACACCGCGTGAAAAATTAGTTGTATAACTTCAACGTTTCCTTCTGTTTTTTCAATGATATCAATTTTAAACATTTTATGTAGCAAACTGGGAGCCCTAATTTTCCTCACCAGTTGTGATTGGTTGCATGAAATACCATCTTCAATTGGATCACGCCACCGCAATGTAGTAAAAAAAAAAAAAAAAAATCGAAATAATCTAAACAATCTAAACATTAACGAAAATAAGTGCTTCTGACACAACCAAGAAAATTTTATAAGTCTACTTTATTCTCAAGAAAATAAAATTTTTCTGAGAACTATGTTTACAAGCTTGTAATTTTAAAAAATACCAAATCTGTTTAAATCCCTTAATTATATTCTGGTTGCAATTTTACTTTTGTTTAAAATAATTCTAAGAGATCATCTTGAGGTTTGCCTAAGTTGAGCTGCTCACAGGGTTTTGCAAATAATTTTCTAACGTGAGGTGACAGTTAATTGATGCTGACTCTTTTTTTTCAGATATCATTTTTGGCCCAACCCTCTTTTTTATTGTGTTTGTACAATTTTCTTTCTTTGAATTTTCGCTTTATTCGCAGTTTTTTTTTTTTCTCTAAAAAAAAATAGATTTCCTTTTTTTTTTTTTTTTTTGATTTGCTCTTTTTGAATTTCAGTTTACTGTAAAAATGGATTTTGCTTTTTTTTTGAATTCGCTCTTTTTTGGACTTCGGTTTGTTTGTTTTTTTTAAAGAAAATTCCAAAAAAAAAAATGAATCAATTTTTTTTTTTGATTTTGGTTTGTTTTTTTTTAAAGAAAATTTCGCAGTTTTTTTTTGGATTTCGGTTTGTTTTTTTTTAAAAAAAGTGAATCCAAAGAAAAAAAAATGGATTTCGCTTTTTTTTTTTTAGACTTGCTTTTTTTTTTTCAGATTCGCCTTTTTTTTTTGGATTCACTTTTTTTTTTTTTGAATTTGCTTTTTTTTCAATTTTTTATTAATCTCTTTTTTCTTCTGCTGTTTATGAAAAACTTCTATACTTGAATGCATTAAAACAAGTGGGTATATATCGATCAGTATGCATATAACTGTTAATATAACTGTAAGAATCTTTTTATATCGAACAATAGGAGCTTATATAGTATATTTTCTAAATATAGACGTAAAGAACAGTATAGGTATGGCTTTTCACCTTTTAGATAGAACCTGTTCTTTAAAATAGCCCATTATAGACAAATTTGGTTTATCTTTAACCTTTTCTTTAAATGATAGAAAGTCAAATTTGGCTTATCTCTAACCTTCTTTTTTAAATAAAAAAGACAGACGATTCCAAAATTTAAAAACTATACAATTTTACTTACACATTTTCAATACGATATAATGAAGCAATGCTAAATGTTCGCCCTTGTATTATCTATATAATACAGCTTGAAGAGCCCATACTTATGTCTTTTATTAATAATATATCCACTATGTATGTACTGATATATTTTGTGATTATCCACTACGTATATACCAATATATTTCGTGATTATAAATATAATAAAAAAGAGAAAAAAAAAAATCTTTTTTTCTTACAAAAAAAAAAAAAGATTTTTTTTACAAATAAAAAATCGTACAATGGTTTACGAAGCTGATTTTCCGCAAATACCTGAAGCATATCAGGATATCATCGTCTATCTTCATAGTGGAACCATACCTACGTCAATAACTCCAAAAAACTGATGGAACTTTAAGCGCAAAATGAAACTGTGGTGTCTAGAAAATGGCCATCTTTATGCACAAATTAAGGATCAACCACTTCGTCATTTTGTTCCTGTGTGGGACTTAGAGTTTTGTCAATCTTTGCTTAAACAATTTCATGACAATGATCGTCATATTAATGCGAACGATTGTCATAAAAAAATTATGGCGCATCATATTGGCATTACAAAAAAGGAAGTTTGTGAGTATGTTCGAAACTATAACACCTGTAATCAAACTACCTCGATTAAAGAAAAAGATAACCTGACACCAGTTGTAAGTTATGGTCCAATGGAACATCTTCAAATGGACCTCATGGATTTCACAGCATACAAAGATATGAACGATAGGTTTTCTTGGCTTCTTACTGTAGTTTGTATCTTTTCGAAATTTTTGTGGGCTATTCCAATTAAATCTAAAGAAGCTAATGTTGTCAGTAAAGCTTTGATTTCTTTATTTTCTTAATGGGGTGTACCATCCATCTTGCAATCCGACAACGGTAAAGAATTTACTGCCAACGTTACTAAATATATTTGCAAAGCACTTGGGATTACAATTCGACATAGCCGTCCAAGGTATCTGATATCCCAAGGGCAAGTCGAATGTCTAAATCAAATGGTTAGACATGGATTTACGAAAATGCTTTGGAATGAAGAATTGCAACTACAAAATGTTAATTGAAAAGACCAGTTATTAAAATTTGTTTTTTCCTATAATACCACCCAACATAATGCTCATGGAAAAACTCTCCGTGAAGTAATATTTGGCTACAAACCCTTGGCATATACCAGCAATTCAATCCTACCGATCCCGTCGACTTTCAGGAAATAGAAGTGCAAAAAACACAAACAACGCCTCAAATCGTAAAAGACCATTTAGAAAAAGTTTCAATGATTCATGATGAAGTCAACAAACAACTCGAAAAAACAAGAAAACGAATGCAAAAAAATTCAAGCGTTCATCACCGAAAAATACCTACGAATCTAGTCAGTTGGTTGCAATTGCCCCCGATACCGATATGAACCCGGCAACATGAAAAAGAAAGCTTCAAACCAACTTCACGGAAACAGGAACCGTAGTTGGTTTGACTAATAATAACAAGACTATTGTGGTTGAAATGTCCGAAGGCAGTTCTATTCGTTGTCTTGTAAAAAGAATTCAGCATATTAAAAAAAATAATGAAAAAAAAATTGATGCCATGGCATCATCTTCACCTAATAAAAATTAGAAAAAAACTTTTTTTTTTTTTTTTTTTTTTTTTGACGTTTGTTTAAAACATACATTTCTTCTTGTTTCTGTCCAAGCTGGTTTTTTTAGGCTTAGTCTTTTTTTTTTTTTTTTTTTTAGGATAGTCTTCTTGGCGGTTGAGGGTTTTTAGAGATTTTAGAGACAGAATATTAGGGTGGGAATGTATTAATAAGGTTTAAATATAGGCCCGCCTCATGTTAGTTTTATACTGCAAATAAAAATCATGTAATTGCCTCAGGTTGGGCAAACCTCATGTTAATCCGCGACAATAATTAACACGAACATTTGAAATATTCTAAATTCATTTTATTGATACTGTTATAATACCGCAAATAAATAGAATACTACTACAAATTGCTAATTAATGGATTTTTTTTTTTTTTTTAAATACTAATACAATAATGTACTCAAGTTTTCAAAAGCCATTTTCCCGAAAGAAAAAAAGAATTAGTCAGTATTAAGTTTTTTCGGAAAAATAGCTTTCGGAGATCGTACAGTAACCCTGGCAATATTTCAATAGGTGCTAGTTTGCTAATTAGTAATGCTGAATATAGATGTTATTGAAACATCTGATACTAAATATGAAAACGATGATTCAGAATTGACAAATAATGCTGGTATTTCCCAAAATAAAGAAGCAACGGAGAAGCTTTCTACCAACTGTAAAGAAATTCAACAGAACACTACGGCAAAATTGGAAAATGACTCAACAAATAATGAAATAATTTGTGGTTTCTTCAAAAAATTTAGCCAAATTGCAAACAAAATTATTGAGATTCCATTCAAAAACCCTTCCGTCGAACTTTTCCAATTTTTTTTATTTGAAAAGCGACAGCACCACTAGTAACAATCGATCAACATAATGGATCGCTTCAATCAGCAATGGCTAAAATCACTCACTGCTAAGTTGCTAAATAATTAGTAAATTTTCATACACTTACAAAACAAAATAAAACAAAGCAAAACAAAAAAAATAAAATTAATACTTATTTTGTTTTCAGATTTTCGTATAGCAGTATGATTTAAAAAAGTGGATATAATAAAAACTTATTGGCAAAAATTTATTTAAACGTTCATACGAAATTATTACTAAAAAACTTGAAAGTGCTAAAACCCAAAAGAACAAAACGTCGAAATAATTATTTTTTTTAAAAGAAAAAAAAATTTTAATCAATGTAATCATTACGAAACGAAGTAATTTATTCTTTAATTGCGACGCATTAGATGGCTACGTAAAATTTTAGCCGCCCCGATCAATGATGTAATTGTTTCGTCAATGGAAAATGATAATTGTATTCGTTCAATGGGAAGTGGTGGGGGAAATTAGTAAACCCGAATTATTGTCGGGATGGTAATCACGAGTTCTAGAAGAAGTCTGAATTTGCAATTGATATTTGTAAAGGAATTGCTTTCTTGAATTCTCAGAGGTATGTCGAATATCAACGAGCAATGCTATTAAACAGTAAACTTACTTCTAATTTATATATTATATTATTTATGCAAACATATTAATAAACCGTGATCATAAAGCTAAAATTGCCAACTTTGGTTTAAGTCGTAAGTTCGGAGATATTACCAGGAATATACAAGTTAGTCTTGAGAATGTGAGGTATATAGCACCTGAGAAATTATAACATGGCGATAAAAAACGATATAATGTTAAATGTGAAATTTATAGGTACATATCAAAGCATCAAATACTGTTAAATTTAAACAATTTTATTTGCACTAATTAGATTAAACAACATTAAAATTAATATTTAGTTTAGGCGCTCTTTTATGGGAAATTGCTGAAGAAGAAATACCTTATACTAGACTAGGAATAGATTTGCAGACTATTCGAGACCGTGTTGTTAAAGAGAAATATCGTGAACCATTTTCTTCAAATGTATCCAGATTTTGGCAGGACATTGCATATGCTGGTATTATTATATTTTCCTAACATTAATTTTAAATCATTATTATTTATTATACTAATCTTCTATATATATATTTAAAGCTTTAAATCATGAACCAGATTTTCGTCCAACAATTGCTAAAATACACACAGTCCTCAATGATTATCGTCATAAATGGATGGGTGTAGATCAAGCAACTGAAGAATATCGAAAGTCCGGCGGAAATAAACAAAAAGCATGGGAGAGCTTTAAATACCACGCTGAACAGGGTGACATAATTGCGAAATACTGGGTTGGTTACTATCTATATCATTCCATCCTTCCTGAACATATAGAAAATCGTCAAGAAAATCTTCAACATGCGGCAATATTGTTTAAAGAAGCTGTAGCTCATGGTAAAGTTGAAGCTCAACTTCGATACGGATTCTGTTTGTGGCAAGGTGACGGTGTTCAGGTCGATTGGGACGAGGCTATGAGATACTTAAAGTTAGCAGCTGATAATGGAAATCCTACAGCTATGTATAATGTCGGAAGTGCTTATTGGTTTGGAAAAGAAGTAGCAAAAGATCAAGAAATTGGTGCCAAATATTTGAAAGTGGCTGCTAAGAAGGATCAACATAATGCCATTGCTATGTGCAAAAAACTCGGGATTAGTTTTTGAAATTGTCAAGTCGATAATATAAAAATTTGTGAGCTCTTATGATAAAACTAATATATATGGTTAGAACAACTGATAACGATGTTAAAGCATAAAAACAACCTATTTTAGTCATGAAAAGGTTGTCAGCCTATATATTTAAGTATGTTTAAATTTCTAATTTTTATGTTTCAGAATTAGAGAAACGATATTTATTAGTCTTGATAACAAAAAGATATACTTGAATATCTCAATTCTAAATAGATTAAAAAATTTTATGCACAAAAATTAAAAATGAAAACGAAAAATATCAAAAGCTTTATTAATCTGGTGGGATTAATGGTATAAATATTCTGACATGTAAATAAAAACCAAGTAAACATAGAAAAGTAAGTTACAACCGGCAGCATCATTCATACACTAATAAAGATGCAATATTACACGTAAAATTCTATCCGAATTAATTGATATTGCTAATTTAATAATTCTACGAAACTTTGCTCCATTTCTTTGACTTATTTATATGTTCTTCATTACCATGCTCCTTTTCAAACGCTAACCATTTTTTAAAGAAAAATTTCATATTTTTGATGAAAACTTCATTTCAATAATTCTTTTGAAAAGACGCCTATAATTTATTATAGAATGAAATGAATAAACTATGTTATATAAAAACAACAACAAACTATTTTTTTAACGATTCCTACCGAACTATATCGAAATCACCAGCCTTTATTTCCATATCAATATATACAGACCACAAGTCTACTCTCTTGGGATAATTACTCATTCCCTCCATATTTGAATTCCATTTGTACAAATTTGGTTATGGTTTTAATATCTAAAAAAGTATTATGAATATTTTTAACACAACTTGTATACGAATGTTCATTGAACAAAAGTACATGAACTATTCTTATGTTTTCGTTTTGGCAAGGAACACAAACTTCGTTGAAATAAATCACGAGAAGCTTGAACATTACCATGCTTGATATGAAACAATCCCATTTTTGTCCAAAATTTGGAGCTTTGAGAAAACTTTTTCAACATAGTTTGATATGTTTGTTGTGCAAGCTATAGATATAAACAAATTAACCATTTAATGATATAATGATAGAATTTTTATAATAGTTCAATTTAAATTCGTAAAATGCAATTATACCTCCTTATCTGAACGCTCATAAATATCCACAAGAAGCAAATATATTTCCTTTTGATCACAAGCCTGTAATGCTCATTTCAATACACCACCGAGACTTTTATCCATTCCAAAATTATTCTCTAAATTCATAAGAGCAACCCATATATTCATCTTTTCTTGTTCCTCTCGATAATTGAAGTTTTAAGAGCACGTTCACCAATTTCACGTGCCTTATCTATTTCAGAAAGTTTGAGTTGATGAGCTATGTAATTAATCTATAAATATGAAGAATTAGGAGAACCCAAAAGTAATCGTTCAAAATCAGCATTGACTTCAGGTTTATGCTTCTGTTTTATCTTCTTCAAAATCAATTGTTTTGGATTTTTTCTTTTTTTTTTTTTTTCTGGTAATTCATCCAATTTTTCATTACTCGATTGATTATCTTGTTTTTCATTATTATTAACAGACATATCAGTTTTTTTCTTCTTCCCATTTCCAAGCACTAGAAATTGGCAAAGGCGTGATTTCAACTTTTTGCGAATTGTTTACTTCCATCATTTCATTATCACTTTCGTTAATATCAGACACTTGACTTTCTTGATCATCTGAATCAATTTCCATTTGTAAATTTGATTTTTCAGCATCATCTTCAACCTAAAATTA